ATTCTCAGGCCACAACTCTTGGCCTCGATTTACATCATAATCAGAACACGGTTCAGAAAGTAACGAATTAAGCACAAGAAATCTCGAAAATTTCACTCTTTGCTTTTTATTCATCATTCCGATCGAGCAATCAAGTGAAAACCAAATACATTGATACGTTCAACCAGTTCAAATCAGGGATTATTAGACTAGTATGCCTTCAAAGAGGAAAAAAACTCTCTTTTCACAATCAACACATATCTAAAATCCACAGCGGTAGCATGTCAGCTCCTAAACCATCAACTAAAATCCACAGTTTTCAGATAAATGAAAAGCTACAATACCAGAGAACGCAACAGAAGAAGAACGACTCTCGAACAGCCAAACCCAGGTATGGAATTAGATGAGGTAAAAGAACATTTTTGACGCAATCGAAACAACGATCAGGGCTTATTTCCTTGCGACAGAGAGGCGGAACGGGAGAAGGACGGAGACTTACAGTGTGAAGCGCGTCGGAGACCTTCCCCGAGGCGGAGGAAGGCGGCAACAGAGGAGGAAGAATGAGCGGGCGGAGAGCGAGACGAGGGAGTTCGTGTCGCGAACACAACGCACGTGACCGGTCCGCGGGAGAGTACGTGTCGATTCGACCGAAGCCGGTTCAAAAACCTTCCAATGAAGACCGGTCCACTTCATCCAAAACACCCCTAACCCTAATAAAGACCTTAGTGGTGGCGCGCTCTCCTTCACGCCCACCATCTGTAGGAGTAAGGTGTCTCTGAATCGTAGGGTTTTCCTTCTTCCCCATCCGTTACGAGCACAAGAAGATGGCTGCGTACGCTATCCACTTCTTCTCCTCCTCCTCCTCCTCCTACTCCTCTCTCTCTCTCTCTCTCTCTGTATTTTTTTATTCTTTTAGACTTGTGATCTACTGTTGTTTGCTCCGTTTCGTCATATGATTTTGTTGTTTGGAGAATTAATACTCGTTTTTGACATTGGTTGTTTTTTATAGATATCATCTGAGAGGGACATATAATGTTGCAAAATGACTTCTTTAGCAGTGTTCCTAAAATGTAGCTTTAATTTTGAGTTATTTTTTTTCTGACTTTTCTGCTTCTACCCATCTTGATTTGCAATTCCAAGGGATCTGTTTGACAGATTGTGGTTGAAGAACATGGTCTAACTGGTAAATTTTACAAACCTTGTTCACCAAAACAAGAACTGATAAGATCTCTTGGAGTTGGGTGTCAAGATCTTGTTAATACAAACTTATGCCAGATTCATGAAAGGTATAACCAAGAACCCTATATAGATGATTGGAAAATATAGGGACCCAATATTGTGTATATTATGAGTACGGTCTATTGATCTTGTTAATACAAACTTATGCCAGATTCATGAAAGGTATAACGAAGAACCCTATATAGATGATTGGAAAATAGAGGGACCCAATATTGTGTATATTATGAGCACGGTCTATTGAGATCCATCCTCAATTTTCCACAAACTTGGAGAAATCCAATGCAAGCATGAAGAATTTACCAAGAGAACTGGTTGTGTTCCTTGGCACCAACAGTAGCCCAAAGAAAAAAGAATATTCCCATACTAAAACAAGCTTGAAGTGAATATTTGATGATGTTTTGAGTTAGTGGATAGGACATGAATGGTTGGGTCATACATACTTTTGATCCATATTCTTGAGCTATACCATAACCAATCAACATGTAGGTTTTGGTGGTCCACCCTTTTGCACCTTGTTTCTGTGTATTGCATTGCATTACTTGTTCATAGTTCTCATTTACGGTCAACTTATTGTTATTCTCATCTGAAACTGCAGTATGATGGTAATTTAAGTTACTAGGAATAATTTGTGTATAACGTTTTGGCATTCGACCCCCCTCAAAAGAGGGAGTGATGTGCTACTTGCCTGACTAGTAAGTTGATTTTTCATTCACTGGTGAACATGCTGACTTTGTAAATGCTTCCCCAAATTCATTAATTGAAAGTAGTCATCAAGGCATTATCTAGTTCTGCAGGTTGTCAAGTTATCTTTATTTCTAATTATCTGTATAATTCTTTCAACATTTTGCCCAAGCAGTAGGCATCCATCTTATTGTTGTGCTCTTGCTGATGACAGTGAAGATGCTGTCACGGCTGAGAATGCCCCAGCTCTTGGAGAGCCCATGGACTTGATGACAGCTCTGCAGCTTGTGATGAAGAAATCGTTGGCCCATGATGGGCTTGTTCGTGGACTTCATGAAGCTGCGAAGGCAATCGAGAAGCATGCTGCGCAACTTTGCATCCTAGCTGAGGACTGCAACCAGGCTGACTATGTCAAGCTGGTCAAAGCACTATGTGCTGATCACAATGTGCATTTAGTGACCGTACCAAGTGCCAAAACACTTGGGGAGTGGGCAGGGGTTAGTAATCTTCAGCAGTCCTATCCTAATTATGCCTTCTTTTTGCAGCAGTTATTGTGTTGAAAGATGCAATTGCTCCCTAATTGTGACGTCATTACAAAATCTTAAATGGCTAAATTCTAAAGCGTTGATCAGAAGTTGCTTGTGTAGATTTTCTCATGGTTTTCCCCAACTTAGGCTAGGTTAACCTTTGTATGATTCACATGCTTAAGGGGGCACATGATTTGTCGAAAATAAATGCAGAACCTTATTGACTTCTTTAGCATCTAGCATATTGTTTTCATTACATAGCATTGATCACTAGAACTTTAGTTTCCTTTAAATAGTGCTAAATTGGTGGCTCATCTTGCAAATAATGCATCTACAAAATTGATTTTGATTGTCAAGGGAATCATCAGCTCAACCAATCATTGATCATTTCAGTAGGTCATGAAGTGATTATTCTGAATTCGCTGTTCTTATGGTATTGCTAACTTGTAATGTTGATTGCTGCTGTGTCCATGCTCACTAGATAATTGCCTTATGGTTTTTTATTTTATTGCAGCTGTGTAAGATTGATTCAGAAGGAAAGGCTAGAAAAGTTGTGGGTTGTTCATGTGTCGTCCTCAAGGTTAGGAAGCCGGGCGGAAAGATTTTAACTCATAATTTTGTTATCTGTTTATTCTCTCATCCGACTTTATTAAGTGTTGAGGGGTTCTTTTCTTCTTTCGTTTACAGGATTACGGAGAAGAATCAGAGGGCCTTCATATAGTTCAGGAGTATGTGAAGTCACATTGAGCGCAATCACAAAAAATGGATGGATTTATTCAGACTTTCTATGGCTGAATCTGTTTTTGAGTTGTTATTCTGTGAGATTATGTTTATTGAGCTTGGCATGGTTCTGTGGTTATTTGATGGGCTCAATAATCAACTTTCTTTTGCACTTTTATCAAATTAGATGATTTGTCATGATTTATTACTGTTTGGACCGGCAATTTTCTAAAGGCACCATTTTTTATGACTATTGCTGCACCAATTGGATAGATTGGCCACATGTTATACTTCAAAAGGCATTATGGTAAAATGCTCGATTTATATTCCTGTTGATAGACTAACACGGTCAATCTCGGAGTGATCTTAGGTTGAATTTTTTTGGGGTTTAAACATTTGGCCTATCAAAATTTTGAAACAACATATTTGCCTTTATTTTAATACACCACATATATCCCTCAAATATTCTTTTCCCTCAATATCTTATATAAAATTCAGAGGGGTCACAGCTAATTTTGTTAATGCTTAAATTCAAAATGTATAGTTATAATACTTACAATGTTTTTCCAATTATAATGAATTTTAAAAGGTCTTGATGTTATATTAAATTTTTAATTAGTTATTAAATTATAATTATTTTATTGATATTAACTATGATATATACATATGTGTGTGTGTGTGTGTGTGTGTGTGAAGAATGTATATACATATGTATATCAAGGTTTAATGAAGAATCAATAAAATCATAAATCTTGACTTGGGATTAATTAGATGAATTTTTTGTCACAATTAAGATATATAAAAATTATATCTTTAATTAAGTTTACAGTATTTAAGTTTTTATTTATAATTTATATTAAGTTTTTTTAAATCTTTTTTATCTCTTCTTCTATCACTAACATTAATCATTTCATTTATTCTTAATTAATCTTTCATTTTATCTTTTATCAAAATGATATCTAATTATTTATAAATAAAAATTTTAAATATTTTTTTAATAACTCTATACAGCCAATGACAAATCAATATAATATAATATGTCAAAGATAATAAAACTTGATAAAGGAATGTGCTGATCGTATGAGTGTCTCAAGAAATAAAAACAAAACAAATCAATGGTTAATTATATATTATCTTATAGTTAGTTACCTTTAACATTTCAATTCATACATTTTAAAAGGTTATATTATCCTTATAGTTATGAAAGTAAAATATCTAAAATAATTTTATTCATAAAAACACGAAAACAAAAGACAAAAAGATAATTTTAACGTTTTAGTAGGTTATAACTAACGTTGTCGGTAGTAACGAATGGCAGCATCACTAGGGCCACAGGTGGCTGTTGTAGATGAAGAGAATGATAGCAAGAGATGAGGACTGCTCTGCATCTACACCAACGTCGATACAATTATCGAGTGACCCTTTCGTCACTCGACAACTACATCAACGCTGACACAGATGCAGAGTGATGTCACTTTACATCTGCGTTGGCACTAATGCAGATGTCAAGTAACCCTTTCGTTGCTCGATAACTGTGTCGATGCCAATGCAGATGTAGAACGACCCACACTTCTCATCCACAATAGTCATCCACACCCCTAATAGTACCACAATTTACCATCACCGACATTGTCCATTACCCCTAACTAAAATATTAAAATTATATTTTTACATTTTATTTTCATATTTTTATTGATAAAACTAATGACATTAGCGTAAATAGACATAGATATTTTATTTTCATAAATATAAATATTCTAATGTAACTTTTTAAAATATAAAAATCGAGATATTAAAGATAACTAACAATAATGGCTAATCTGTTATTAACCCGCAAATCAAGGTTTCACAACGTTGCAAACAAGAGGACTGCTCTTGTTAATTTGCCCTCGGATCCAAATGACAAAACATAATATGACAGAACTAAAATAAAGATAGTACTACGTTTATACAAATGGACGATCGAACATAATAATTTGTAGATAGCATCTGTACCTCACTATAAAATTTCTTTATCCCTGCTATACCAACCAATGGCTCTAGCACCGGCATTCAACCGCAGCAAAACCACTTTCTCTGTATCAAATCAAGTGTCAAGTAATATAATGAAAGAATTAGACTGCAACAGCAAAACTAGATACTAGTGCAAGCTAGTTTGAATTGAAATGCGTGTGATCATGAAATTTTTTTCCCCTTTTCATTTAAACAAATGTCCAGAGATCAGGAACGAAGATGAAATGGCAAAAGATAGAATCATACACTTTTTGTTGGATATTGATAGGTTTCATCTGGTTGTAAACCACCCACATTGTTTTCTTCTCATCTCGAGCTTTGTTAAAAATAATAGTGAACCCATCAGCTGAGGCAGGATTATTGACATCCCACTCCCCAACTTGGGCAGTGGTTGACCCCTCTCCTGATGCCCTCAAGTAAATAAAATAAAATGCAAGGGATGACAACAACTACAAGAGACTGAAGGGAAAAATCAGATTGCGAATAGGCGAGAAAGAAAGCAGCAGCAGCAAGAATCAAGCAAACAATTTCTAGTGAATTTTGTCTCAAACATCCAAGAGCAAAATATACATGAGATGACATAGTGAAGAATTTTTAATCAGCACTTGATAAAATGATGTTGAACAACAAGTCATGCGGTCCCAAGTATTTAAATTTTGAATGCATGAATATTTTCCCATATTTGAACTTTGTCAAGGGCAATGTCGCTAGTTCAACCAAGAGCTATCAATTCTATTTTTATCATTTCTCAAAAATAATTCTTGGGTTTTCTACCTCTACTAACTAGTGCATTTAGGGATCTTCTCTTATTTATATCTTAAACCAAAACTATCCCCAATTATTCATGATGTTTAATCCAGCTTTTTTATGACACCATCTGCATATTTCAACGCCCTCTTAACAAAATATATTTTCATATAATATTTTACAAAATGCATATTTCTTTCTTCATCAAACACCAAGTATATATATGTCAATGACCCAACTGATGCCAATGACAGGGTAGCTTGGATGTTATGGACATTGGGTGGGTGAAAATTTGACCTTTGCGCATGGCAATGATAACAATTAAATATATTACCAGTCTACCAAAGTACAATTATTGGAATATAGGGGAAGGACCATCCCATAGCAGTAAGAATCAGAATTTTCTTCAGTTTCTCACTGCTCGTAACATAAGATAACTTTTGGAATTGCTTAACCTCTCAAAGATACTGCTTGAAGTATAACATAGTGCACCATGTTAGCTCATCCAAATGTGTCTTACTTACACCTCTAATTTTCCTAGTCCTCCACACAAGAGCTTATAGCAAGTTTTTGATGCCTTTCTTCCACGTAATTGAGAGAAAGCAAATAGTAGGCTCAGGCTAAATTATTTTGATATAGCATTTAGTTTTGGCAGTTAAAAAGCATTATGAATTGCATCTGATGAATTGAAGCGTAAAGTTTCACTAGGTTAGTTATTTTTAAAGTCGATTAACTCCTAAACATGTGCTAGTAAGTATGATACAAATTACTTCAGACAAAATTATATTATCAACATTAACATGTAAAATATTGTGCAAAAGCAAATGATTTCACATGTCAGTCTCATTTTGAACATTAGATATCATTGACTTTATATTGAAGCTACAACATCAAATAAATGGAAAGATTGTTGAAAAATACAAGAAAAATAGGGACATTTGATATCAAATAACTTTGTAAATATAAGTTGGTTCCTAAGGTGCAGAGTTCAGATGGTCCATGATATCTGGAAAATTATAAAGAACTACAGGAACATAATTTTCTCTTATATACCTGCAATATGATCAGCTTCTAAGTCAAAATCCTTTATGTTTTAGCATGAGAGAGTGCTTTCAATTCACGCAAGAATAAGACGGCTTGCAAATTTGTGGCGTTGGGACAATTTGAAATGACTAAACCATATGTCCCAAACAAGTTTTGAGTTTACATACAGCAGATTGGAGTAAGAATGCATAAATATTTGATACTGTACCAGAGTTCCTATATGATGAATTTTTTTTTATTCTAAAGGAGACAAACAGTGGTAGTGATCTCCAAAGGATCAAACTTCAAAGCAAGAGTGACTTTGCACGTCAAGTTAAAAGCATGAGGCTGAACTGGTAGATGCTCAAAAGAAGACTTTGTAAGAGGAGGAGATGATTATAGACTTCAACTGGTCTTCACAAATATCGGATTATCTGATGATTAAGACTAAAGTGGACAAGGTTGCACCACAGCAGGAAATTGCTGCTAGGAAGACGAAATGTTGAAAGTTTTAATACCAAGTGGATACAAAGAGAAAGAAGAAATATACCTCTTTCTATAAACAAGTGACAGAAATATGTTCAGAGGTAGAGCAGAAGAGAAAAGGAGAGAAAAGAAGAAAGGTTGGTGTGTATGGTAAAAAAACTCAGTATCCCCCTACATTCCATGATTAAATCCTGATAATAGGTACAATTCTGAAAAAAGCAGGAAGAATCATGCACCTAAACTTAGGTAGCGCTTATCTGATTAGTTGCTGAAGCACTTAGGTTACTTGTACTTCACATACTCCAATTGGATGTCTTGAGCAAATAAAATCTTCCTTACTCAAACAGGTAATGCATATCCAGATTTTAAACCCCTAACATAAAGCGTACAGCCAGGATCACCACATGTTAAGCAATTAGAATTCTTGAAGCCATGGGTTGTTCTAAACTCTGAATCAACAAGAAACACAAATGAAAGAGAAATAAAAATAAGTCAGACGTCCAAAAACACAATCGAATTGGTAAAAACTGGGTTTTCACAAAAGTTCTCCTAAAAACTTCGACTTCCACAATCACTCAAGAAGTCTATAATCATCGTTTAGTGTTACTTATTGCTCGTGATTATAGACTTCTTGAGTGACACCAATCTCATTTTCTCGCAACATTCGACTATCGATCCGCGAACGTAACTATAAGCCGATCCGTAACAAGAACCTATACTTATCTCATTTCCCAGACCCGCCCTGATTACTGAGATTTACGAATGATTTCTCAGTCCTATTTGCAGAATCGAAATCAAGAAAAGGAGGAGAACCATCTCGGCACTTCCGATCATGAGAAAGAACCAGAAGTTGGAGGAGGCTTAATTGACCGAAAAGCAACCACAAAATCGACGAGAACAGACACATGAAATCTGGAACCGAAGGGATCGCTTACCGACGACATATTCGACAAGACCGGGTGCTAGAAGTCGGCGGCGAAGAGGGAGGAGGGGAACTCAAAACGAGCGCACTCCCCTCCCTCCTCCTTTGTACCTCAAGACGAACGAGACGTGTCGTAGTCACCCCAACAAAATTTCTACCATCACATGCCGCTGTTCCCCAATGATTCTCTCCAAAAGCATCTGATCATCGCATGAGTAAACCGCCATTGTAAAATCAACGATGGAAAACAAGTGTTTGCCGCTGTCCGTTTGCTACGACGGTCGGAAGGAAACGGCGATTTTTGTCGTCGGCAGCGACAGTCGACGGCTGGATATCTGCGTTCTTGCATTATGATTCGTGCGACTAGGAATCTGACGGGGCGTTTTGCCACCGCCCGCAGTATCGTGCATCATGAAGCACACAGCCTGGTGACTTCAGGTAAAGAATTTTGACTTTGACCGAGGAACCAGTCATTCTGTCATTTTCTTTCAGAATCATTCTTTTGGTCTAATTCCGATCTGATCTGTTCAAATGATATCAAATCATTTGAGCTAACAATCACTGTAGAATTCTACACAAGATCACAAGGCTCACATTCTAGAATTAAACAATCCCAACTCATCAGCTAAAATATGATAAATATAACAAAATATTGTCCTTTTGAATCTAAAATTGTCCATATTTCTATATATGCAGCAGCCTCATCAAAACCTAGTATTTTGATTACTATCCTGCTCAATCCCCATCACGTACTAATTATGTTTTCTTGTGAATGCTTCTACAAGTGCTGTTAACAACATACATCCCATACAAATTTCCACAAATTCTGAAAGAAACAGTGTCAGCATCACATCCTCTTGGAGGGTAGTTGATCTCATTTATCAAACCAAAGAAGGTATGAGGCAAAGATGATCCCAAATATGGCAACAATCCCCACATATGTCATCCCAATTTCTTGACTTGCACATGAACAATTGATACACCTGCCCCGATAGAAGTTTATAAGCTTCAGCACCGTGGGAGCTCCTATTAGTATGTTCAGCAGAGGAGCATTCACAGTGCACCTTGATTGATGGTGGAGCTCTTTCTGCAGTTGAATTAATATTTCCTCACTCTCAGACCTGCTTGTGCATAATGACCAATGATAGCAGAGAGTAATTACTACATACTTGGAAAAGTCCAATCATGCTTCACATCCACTTTGAACATCATCTTCTGAAAAGCCTGGGTCGCCTTCTACTTGTAGCGGAAGCTCCACCAACCGTCAACTTGGTAGACTCGAAATCCTCTTCATCTTCACTAGATTCATCAGATCTCCACCTTGACCCAACCATCCGGCCTTTATCTTCAGGGATATCACTCCTTCCAAAACTACATACGAAAAAAAAATCCAGTTAATTCAAAGCTTAAAAAAGCAGCAGGTTCCAGGTATCATGAGTCTGCCGCTGATAATTAATCTATAAAAGAAATCAAATGATGAGACCACTTTTATCCCAAACCTCGGGTCAATAAAATTCAGATTTTATGCTACTTAAACAAGTCATGCATCGAAAATTCCTCCAAGATACATTCCCATTAGACAGAAAATTACCTCCATGAACTCGCATTAGCCTCCCTTGAAATCATGGTCAATGATCCATCAGGCAGATTGTAACGTCTGGAACTTTGAATCGGGTCATGAACAGACTCCTTCCGAGAGCCATCATGACAATGGTCTGCTGAAGTGACTCTGGGAAAAACAAGCCGTGGGTTTTCATTCCGAAGCACTCTTGCTGCACTTGAATTCGGCCCTCTTGTGGGCTTAGGCTTAGCTTTAGAACCATGGTGAAACTTTACAGAATGGTCACCATCAACAGGTTGAAATGCTTGTTTCATGTCAGCTTGCCACATCATGTTTCTAACATTAGTATCATTAGATGATGGGATTACACCATTAAAGGGATATGACGAATATGCTCCATCAGTAGCTTCTGCATTCATATTGGCAGAAGGGCTTTCAAAAGACACAAGAAGCCTCCGTTGGATAGCAGATGGAACCTTGCTTGCAGTCCCAAAATTGCTGTCATGCATAGGGCTTGCTGCAGGTGCATTAGATTTTCTCAAAGCATAAGAACTTGAATTTGTTTGAAGAACGACAGAGGAGTTATTTGGGATGGTAGAAAGATTTGGCTGTGCATTGGATAAATCAGATACTAAAGACATCTGAACATCTTCTAAAGAAACATGACCATAATCAGTGACATTTTCGGCCAATATGTTCTGCCGTTGTACCTCAGGCAGCAAATCGAGACATTTATCCTGTTGACAGAGTAAATAACTTTTAGAGTTAAAAAAGAAAAGAATGTAGACATATATCTGTTTAGAATTCTTAGCATACACATGCCCTATGCAGAAGCTGAACTAATTATGCCCCTAGAGAACTTCTGGTAAAATACAAAAATATTAGTAATAATACTTTTGACCTAAAACCAGTTACAACAAAGGTACTTTGGCCAACAACATGGACATTATGTTGGGCTTTACTTCATTCTATGATGAAGCTATCACACACTTATAGCAATAACAATGGCTTTAATTTGTCTCTGGCTCAGTTAAAACAGAATTTTTTGTTATCTTACTTTGTTAAGCATCTTAACCTTGAAGTTATGAAATTAGTTAAGCTCTGAAGATTATTGATGTAACTGCTTAAAAAAGAATAATGAAAGATACAAACACTAGCAGCAAGCTGTCCTATGAACAATCACAATATGGACAAAAAATGACAGATATTGCATGCACAAAGGTAAGCAAATTCAAGTATATTAACATGCCAAAAGTAACTTACAATCAATCCTTCCCTCCACTGACATATCAACTGTACCCTAGAAGCAACATCTTCATTTGCAGACTCTAGAATTGTCTGTTCCATGGTCTGAATATCACGATTGACTAGATATGCCTCTGTGAATCTATAACGCTGAGAAAAAAAAAGAAAAAAATTAGAATATACAATTTAATAGACATGAGATTAATTGAAAAAAAGATGTTTATGCACATAATTTTATTGATGCTATATGTAATACCACTCTCTATTACTTTAGCATTAACCATAGTAAAAAAAAATGAAAATAACAATAAGAACTTTTGAAAAGGCATAATGGTGCAAGAAAAACCATAATAATAAAAATATAAAAGCAAAAGAAGCTATGCCACCAGGAGTCCACAAATTGTTAGACTTCATGAGAAACTCGACTACAAAGTAAAGCAGGTTATGCAATATATTACACAAGTCAAATAATTTCTGAAGCACCAGCAATCTTAAGAAGCAGATAATACCTCCACATAAGAACACCAATAATAAGATCCAATATGTCAAGTATTTATAAAATAATGATGAATTAGCTTTGATTTTAGATAATAGCAGTATAGCAAGTTGTAATTTATTAGAAAAATGGAATTGGCTGTGAGAACTTCGAAATCACCTGAAGATAGAAGACCACTAAAAGGCTACCACATGTTGATGAAGGATTTTGAGAACCATGATCAAAGAGACACTTGTGGAGATGCTTCTCCTCATCAGAGTTCCAAGGGAACTCAATCATTCTGTCTACCAAGTTCCTCCGAATACAGAGATGGCAAATTTCAGTTACCAAAACTTCAGTGAGGTATATCCAGAACTCAGTGTTTGAAGAGTTGGAAAATCCTATATCCAATTTATACTTCAAGTTTTTGTCTTTAGCTTTTGAACACTGCATCCTCTGAAACATAAAGGCTTCTGTCAGAAGCCCACACTCAATTCTAACTCTAACTGCTGTTATTGCCTCGCCTAGGAACTCATGCTGTGGGAAATCATTATCGGTGTTTATATTAGACAAGCCTCCATCACGCCCACTGCAACGTAAAATAGACAAGGCGACGTCAGCACGCTGACGTTCTAAGAGAACTTGAGCTATCTTCGGATGTATTTCTGGGCCAGCAACTTCAGGGAGAAGATTTATAGCTTCCTGTCATCAAATTGCAGGACCAACCAATATCAACACAATTATTGAAGAGAAAGTAGCAAAAGGGGACAAAAAAAGTGAAAGAATCAAGGATATTAAATCTGGACAGTCTATCACATTAATGGATGTCCTAAGAAAATATTTCATATACATCACAGTGACCATACTATGTTCATTATATAACCAAACAAAACTTAAAAAGTAGAAAACAAAGGGATGGATTCAAGATAAATTGCAGTACATTTTATGAACATCACTTCTAATTATGTTGACCTAAAACAAGGGATGGCATTTCAAGTGCTGAATTCACAATGTTCTATGCAGCTGCTAAGAAAGGAAGTTATATTTGAAGGCAAATATTCTATTTCAACTCAATGGCGACAAAAGATATGAACTAGACCTTAAAAAAAAGGTGGCTTACCATATCAACAGTGATGCAGTACCATCTCAATATATTTCTCATTGAATACATTTTCTTAATTTTACAGGGTATTTTTGCAAATGTCATAACTTGCCAAAAGAAGACACCTTCCATGGGACTATATCGGTTACCAATATTGCCCAAGGAAAAAGAAAATGGAAGCCACTTTAAAGAAAGGAGGAGACAAATAATAGGTTAGATTGAGCATTCTGGAAAAAAAGAAAGGTCATGTCTTGGGTTAATTGAAGATCTTATCCTAACAAGAAAGTTTCTACTTAACCAAAGAACATACAAAGATGGAAGTTTGTCAATCATATATTTTATCAAAAGAAGATTGTTTGACAAAACAGATATGAACTACATCTTCCCAAAAGAAGGAAAGCTAAAATGATTGGTATGTTTCGCTTTATGAATGTAATTTTTCTTTATTGCATCCTTCTTTAATTTTGTACATTGCCTCTTTCTTTTTTGAGTAATTGAAGATCCACAAATGAACAAAAATTATGTTTTCTTATAATATGTGTGAGTTGTGTATGGCTATAGCTTAAGTTCCAACAATGTTAATTCCATGGTCCACATGTGAGGATTGCAGAGATGTTAGGGCAGTATTCTAAACCTTGGTAGAATATACTTTAGAATATACTGTACTTTGACTTTGTCAAATCTGATATCAATCTAGCTAAGCTAACTATAAATCCAAACTTTGATCAGCAAAAAGAGTACTAACCTGATCTACTTACCCAGTCAATGACAAGATTGGACACAATGAACAGTCCTCAATCAAGCTCAACATTGTCCAACAAGTATCACAATGTAACTATAAGTTTTGAAGTGTTAATAGATCATGATACCTGATTTATAAAACTGAGTGTAAAAAAATGATCAACTAGAATAAATTAGGTTTTTGAGAGCAAAGGTCAAAAATAGTAATTTATCACTGATGTAACCCATATGGCAAGAATCAATGACTCAATCAGTCCTCGTTCTGCACGTGACCAACTTATAAACTAATGTGCCTCCTGTCCACTAGAAAAATATGTACCTTGAAGCATTCATATTTATACACTACCTCCTTTCACAGCCTACAGATAGATAACTCGAAGCACATATGTATTATTCATAATCACTTGGATCTCCTTTATGAATTTACAAGGACAAAATGTTTCGGCAAATGCCTGCTATTTGGTTCACTTTGAGTCATACAAAAGCACCCAATCAACTCTTACACACACACACGCGCGCGTGCGCGCGCACACACATATATATGTGTCTGTGTGTGTGTGTGTGATAATTAATCTACGTCCATTATATGATGCACTGAGGCTACGTTGTATTAGCATAATAAGGAATCAGTATCTGAGGTTGATCTTTTCAATTTCCAGCTCTATGATGATGACTTGGATTTGATGTTTGATTAGGTCAACCTAGCAGGCTTAGCGATTCAATATTGGATGCGCCAGGAAACTGTCAATGTCTGTATCATTTCATTCTATGAGCAATTAAGGATGAGGAATGACAGAAGTCAAAGGATGTGGTGCATACTGAGGAATAGATTGATGTTGGGAACATGTCTAGATTTCGGATAATCAGTCATCCAGGGTCATGGTAGCAATAGTAGGGTCCGACATGCAGCAATTGCTGCAGGGGAAAGGGTCAGGCTTCACACTCAATTGATTTGTTAGGCACAATCAATAAGCAACAAGTCCAGTCGAATGTGACCACGATTTGCACTCTATAAGGTCCACGAAGATAGTAGAGACGTGAACAACAATATGTCCGCCGATAATGTGACCAATATCCAACCTCATGTTCCCCCTACTTAGACACAGAAGAGCATGGATCAAAGGCACTATTTCAGTTGAAGCAAATCATAGATGAGGGTCCATAAGGCTCATTTATGACCACAAAGATAAAGGAAAGAGAAACGTTGTTTATGTTGGGTTCAAACGAGGATATGACACGCAGCCTACATGATATCGAATCAAATAATAGGTCCTTGTATTATCAGTCTTGACACTACCTTGAATCCTTATGCCAAAAGATGCATGGTGATGGTGTTTTTTTTCGAAATTGGATGCCCTTTCCGACACAACAATAATACAATGACAAGAGTATCTAGAGCACTATATCCTACACAGAAGCACTTACAATGATCCTACTTGCCTGACGTACCTCGTACCACACAAGTGGTTCACGTCGATGAGTTGACAACCGCCACCACATTATTGGATTTAAGGCACAGTTTATCAATATCAGATGTCATGATAGGAGTTTCCCTCATGGGTCCTGCCAACATCCTGTACCAATTCATAATGGATTCTCATTGGGGACCTCGGCCCACATTGTGAACTCACAACGATCAATTTGGTGACATGAGCAAGTATAACACCATACTTATTATTCTTAATTATTTAGAAAACAAGACTTATTTGTATACATTGGCTTCTTTATATGTTGCAAGTATAACACCATACTTATTTTTCCAATATATGTTGCAATACAATATTTGTTTAATTTGTAAACCGATAACAATTTAATTTTAGAAAACATGTTTGTATATATCAAAGGTGGGAAAGAACCTTAAAATAGGATCTTTTTATAATTTCAGCTAGCCAAAACCAGTGTTTCACCATGCCATGGTGCCACGAGTAAGCCAACATGTACCAGGCCAGTACCAATCCCTCCATGGACCAGCATGGGTCCGCTTACCCGATACGTAGAACCTTGAGGACAAATATTACTGATGAAAGCCAAAGAAATATGTGGTCTCCACCAGTGTAGTTAAAAGCATTAGACACTAAAAGGCGCCAAGATACCAAATGCCCAAGATGCTAAGTGCTTGCCCAAGGGAAGCGAGATGCTCCCGAATATTAAGAATATATATCATTATCGATAAATATGATAATTAAAATAAAAATGGCACATCAAATTATACTTATGTAAGGTATTAAATTACATTATCTATATTCAATAACAAAAAATAGCAAAACTAAACAAGATTAGCAAGCATACTGCCACAATCATCCATCACTGATCACATCAGCTCGAGGACAAAAGAATTGCAGCATAAGTTTACCCTCTCCACTGATTGATTCCTCCCCCAAAGCTTCATTGGGACAATGCACTCATTACTCTTAACACTGTAGGACTTTAGGTATTTGCTTGTATGGGCTTGGATGCATGTATTCTCTCCACTTGATCTTTGGTCTTCTTCAAAAGGGAGAAGGTATAATTCATGACCATGTTCTCTCAAGCACTCGAGAGACATACAATTCAAGACTAATGCGATGGTCTTGTATGTTCCTGACAATCCACGGAACTGCTATTGATGTTACGGATGGCATTATCACCATCACTTCTTCCCTCTCTCTACTTTGCCGAGGAGAGTGACGTTACAGACCAACCCTTGGTGTCATTTAATGTCTCATGGTTCAATTGTTTCTTGAGCTTAAGAGAGAAAGGAAGGAGCTGTTGGGGGCTGCAGTGCAGGAGGAGAGGAGGGGGGGAAGGCGGCTGCGGTGAAATAGGAGCATAGGAGCAGGGAGAGGGGTGTTGTTGGGGGCTGTGGCAGAGGTGACTGTAGAGGAGGGAGGGGGATGTTGTTAGAGGCTATGAAGGAAGAGGAGGGGGGAGGGGGCAACTATGGTGGAGTAAGATGGAGATGAGTGCTGTTGGGGGCTGAGGCTATGGAGTAGGAGGGAGAGGGGTGCCATCGAGGGTTGCGGAGGAGGACGAGGAGGAGGGGGTAGTAGGCCGGCTGCAGTGAAGTAGGAGGAAGAGGCCATCACACTTGCATGAAAGCCTCTTACCGAAGGAAGAGGCCACCACCATTTGCAGACAAAGAGGAAGATGTCGCCACCGTTTACTGATGGAGAGGAAATCACCACAGCATAGTTCGTCACCTAGTTCTTCCAAGGTGGGCAGCGGTTGTGTGTGAGAGAGGATGCGGGGTGTGGAAGTGATCGAACCAAATCAACGATCAAGCCTATTTAGATTAGGCTCAACCCTGGTTCAATTTGCCTTAGGTGGGCGCTTGAGTCACTTGGCACCTAGATTGCACCCAATTGAAAGTGCCTGCCTAGACCACTTACAAGGTGCTCGGACCTCGCCTCGCCCGGACACCTAGGCGAGCGCCCGGTGATTTCACTAGCTCATCTACACACCATGCTATTCATTGTTTGTCACTTCCACAACAGTAATGCATAAATGTTAAAGCATATTATCATTTTTTATGCGTATAACGTCCAAAATCCTCAATTATAAATCTCCATTCTTCAAGAAAATGCTCAATGCAGATTCAAACTTCACTCATTTACAAGGAAAAGCTACTTTACTCCTTCCTACAGTGGCATGGCCCAACATGACAATAATAGAAGGAATTGAAACATTTTAAGGGAAAACGATCTATCCAAATATAAGCCTATAAGATAATATATATCTAAGACCAAGCATGGTTGTTAAAAGAACTGCTTTGGAAGACTAATCATCCTTTCACATTATAAAAGGCTACTATTGTCAAGATAGGCTCAAACACTGCACATAATGTCCAAGAACTTTTAGATCAACTTAATCATAGCATGTACAAAGAGAAATTGTGAATTCAGGGATAAAGAACTTGCATAAGAAAACCAGCAATCCATGTCATCCACATATGTAAAACCAACTACCTACCTGTAAAGCCTGAGGGGTATGATCATCCAAGAGATAGAAAACCAAAGACTCCTGTACTGTATGGGTAGCAATGCCAAAGGAAATAGCAAAATCATCAACTATGTGTTTCCATTCTGCATCAGGTCTCTTCCAATGCCGATCAAATAGATAATATAGAAACTGAAAGCATGTTAAGAGGAAAACATAGAAGCCCATACAATTTATATCAAGATCACAATGCCAAACAAAACAGCAGATCAAGGATACTATCGCTTGTTTAGCAACCACCATATCAGAGGTCCCACGCAGAAAGAGTATATCTGCAGCAGCTTGCAAATTCCGAAATGGATATCCATTTCCACCTGCAATATCTATCTTGGATAGGAATAGCAATCCTGAACTATCATCTTGTAAGCAAGAAATATCCACTTCTACCCCTGTCTGCACGTAACTTTCTTCTATCCCTAGATTTGATAATGCATCTTCAATAAAAAGTGTGTTATCATGCTGCCCAGCAGAATCCACCAAGTTACTCGAGCACTGAGGCCATGATCTCTTAATTGCAGCTGACTTCCTTTCATAAACATCCAAGTTCCATGCCTCAGAATTTCCTAAATTATAAAATCGTGATTGAACATCACGAAGGAACTGGTGTCTGGTACACCAAATCATGACCTCCAAATGCTGAAAAACAAATAAGACACTCAAAATGCCATATTTTTCTACAGGAATGTAAAATGCACATTACATTTGAACATTGTTGGTAAGAAATAGAAATAAATTTGCATAGCATAAAGGCACCATGAAAAGTTGAGAGATCAAGTAAAACATTCCAACTAGAGTTTACAAATAATTTATGTAAGAAGGCCAACTTGAACCCACACCATTGCAGTGCCCCTCAAGATAACGTAAAATGTTTGTGTATAAATTGACATCATTGTTCGTCCACACATCAAAAACATACAATGTTCTCAGGCCTGGATTAGTTATGTTTTGGAATGAGCAACTACCTAACACGACAAAAACATCAAACAACAGCTTCACATCTCTTACGAAAAGGTCAAATATCAACATACATGCATGAATCATGTCAAGCATCCAACTATAAAACAATAATTTGGTAATTTTAATAAATATGTCATGCATTTGCAGTTCCATTTACTGTTCATATATATTACTATATATCAGTTGGACCAGTTACCCCATCTTTTAATAAAATTGATAGAATGTTCAACAAAAGTTGCAATGAACAACAATTTACATAGGGTTAATTCGATGCATAGCCATTGCCAACATGGTTTATTGGTTTTAATTTTTAAGAGAATATAAGAGCTGTGATATGTGTCCATTCACTCAAGAGACCAAACTTTTTCAGAAAGAGTCTCCCCTAAGAAAAGCAATTTGAGATTGTTAGGAATAAGTTTGTTTTATTTCCAAAGTAATTTCTATTATCAATGTGCTCAATAAATGAAAAAGTGAAGTTCATCCTTTCAGTGTATACCATCCAAGGCCAACCAATTTGTCATTATTCAATAGCATAAGATGAATTCAAGTAACACAAACCTTTTTCTTAACATAACAAATAGATTAATTTTGCCCCTCATAAATACATAGAAGAGTGGAGAAAAACTTAACAAAAGAAGCGAAGAATTATGCGGCCCAGTGGGGGGGGAACAGCACACATATAAAAAGTATAGCCTCCACATCAACATCTATGTCAAACAGAAGATTAAATTAACACAAACCTTTTCCTTAACAAAACAAATAGATAAGTCAAATTTTGCCTCTCACTGTCATAAATATATAGAAGAGTTTAGAAAAGCTTGTCAAACAAAATATGAGAAGAACATATAAAAAGTATAGCCTCCCGGTCAACAACATGTATGAGTTATGAGTGACAAAAGAACAAAATTCAAAATTTGATGTGCATGATTGTGCTTTCTAAATCTTAATTTTTATGAGTGACAAAAGTCCAAAACTCAAAATTGTGCATGAAAATCATAATTGTGATTTCTAAATCTTAATTTCTGGAAACAACAGGATATAGGGAAACCATAATGTCTTAACAGGTAAACATTACCAGAGGAATGAAACAGAGAAAATTGAAGGAAACTAAACCTGCTTTGCCTTCAGTACATTCTCCAAGAGGTGATGCAGGTCATGAACTTGAGCAGCAAATGTTTCTTTAAATGATGAAGTCATGACCTCAAGAACATTTGAAAGGCCACTTAGATGCAATGCAAACTTCTGCATCAAAGACATGCTAGATCTCATAGCTTCTGTTCCACGACTGTCTGTAACATTCTTAAGGCCCTCAAAGTTCCCGCTTGAAATGAAAATATATGTTTTCGAACAATGATAAAACTAGACAAAATTTGAAATATTTCAGGATACATATCTCACAAAGATCAGAGACAATATTTTTAAATGTCTCTTTGCACCAGTCCTTGACAACCACTTCATCCAAAAGAAAAGCAAATACCGGGTCACTTGATACTGCATTCTCATTCATACAAACATCTGTAATATCTGATGTCTATGTCAAGGTAACAATGAGAAAACTCCAAAATCACAGAAAAACATATCATGTAAGAGACAAATATATGAGCACTAGGAACACAAGATAATCACTGAAGGATACAATGACAAATCAAAGAAACTAGGTTGTTCTTCAATGCCACATCAAAAAGAGAATATAACCGTTCAATATGAACCGTCATATGTTTTTGGCTGACTTCTCTCTCTTGGGATCTATCATCATGCTGTTTCAAGATAAGGCCAACCTCAATGCACTTATAGTAGAGACGAAGACGGAGTCGACATTCATCACTCGGTATCAAGGTTCTACAAATTGGGCAAACATCACATCTCTTGCTGCATTCTTCACATAAAGAGGCATGTCCACATGAGTTGAGCACATGTTGTACACAACGTCCACAGCTGCTTAAGTCCCTAGTTGCTCGACAATGCTCAACTTTTGCTTCATTACATAGTTCTAGGAGATCAATTGATGCCAAGTGCTCCAAGGCGTCCTAACATGATATTCTCCTCGTTAGATGAATATCATCGTCTATAATAAGAATTTAGAGCGGATAGGAACAGTTCAGAAACAAAAAATAAATTAGGGTTACATGATTCACATAACAACACTAATGTTTTAAGTAAACAGACATATGACTAAATAGAAGTGCTTAGACTGACCAGCCTATTTGGTATTCTCAGCACAACCATGACCTTCAGCAAATAGATAGTCAATTAACACGTTCACAGCAATGTCAGAGAAGACATCTCACTGGGAAGTACGTGCCTTTGTAAAAGATCCAAGCAAAACACGAAAATCCTATTTCACGTCAAAATAATTGCGACAACCTATAGAAGTTTCAAAAAAATATCTTTTGCTAGAGACGCCTTACTGAAACTCTCGCTTTAACAACATCATCGACATCAAGTAAATGCTAAGCATGGCATGCCTTCAGCATATTACAGGATTTATTTCCCTTTAAGCGTTCAAAAAAACTAAATGGACTTCTAAAGGCACAAAGAAAAACTTGAATCCACGATTTGGGTTTCAGAATAAAGATAAGAAGCGAAATAACCCAAATGGGAACACAAGGATGAAGGCGGCACCTGGACGGCAGAGCTGTCGCAGTTAGGCGGCTGTCGATCGAGAGAGGGCCATCCGCTTCGGCGGCCGTCGCCGATCTCCGAGGACGGAGACCTCTCGGATCTAATCGACTCCATGGCGCTCCTCGCCTTCGAGAAGAGTGGAAGGAGGAGAGAGGCGAGGGAAAAAGGGTTTTGAGAGGGCTAAGTGGTGAGGGTTTCTCGGCATTTACCGTGATGTCGGATAAATGGATCCAACTCTCGGTTCGAACCGATCCGAGACGCGACGGATCATCTTGCAACAGCATCCGACCGACCCTATTATACTCGGATCTTCCACCCGAGGAACCGATCCGCTTGCTTCGTTAAGCAGCGTGACATTTTATTAGATGCTTCTTTCTTTATTCTCATAATATTTTTTTATTTTTATTTATTTAAACACTCTTACATAGAATTATTTATGCTCTGCCCATAATTTGACAATGATATGATATATTTTGGCATCGCCCACGTGGGCCCAGGTAAGGAGACATGATGATACAGATGTGGAACCTCAAGTACGATGTGGTGCACAACACACACGTGGCGGGCAATCGCTTGTCACCCCCTTCGTACGAGCGACGACATCATCACAGTACAGCCACCCCGGAAAACTCGGGACGGCACCGTGGAGTGTCGATCCGTGCAGGTCGGTCGACGCTCGTACAATCGGCCGCCCGAGGAGTCGACCGCAGTAAATTGACCCCGTCTGACCAACTCATCCTCGCAAGTATAAAAGTTAACTCTTCCTAATAAGGAAGAAGAGGCACTTGGAACACTCAATTCTCTCTCATTCCACCAAAAGCTAATTTAAGCTTCAGAGGGGTCGAGTCGGGAAATCCCCCTCCCGACCCCGACTTGTGTGCAGGAGCTCAGCGATAGAGAAGTAGGTCACTCGTCAAGAGAGAAGACCACGCTCGAGGGACGAGGCTCAAACCTGACCCGACCTAATGCTCACCCTCACCACCTGAGCATCAGCGTGGGTGACCTTGTGCATCCAGGACCAGGTCGAGCCATGCTAACACCTCGGCCACGGCGTAAAGGTTCACCAATAGGCAACATACCATAACCACGACAGCACTAATATGAAACTTACAAGCCGATATGACATACCACATCAACAGCTCAGACAATGTGACCATCCTCCCAACTTGTGCAGGGCCATACAAGCAACATCGTCAGGTACGAAGCTACCCTTGAAGGTTCGGAATGGAGCCGTTGAGTACAGAGCTCTCCCCCCAACCCCCCGGAATGCTCGGCACGGCGTCGCTCAAGAACAATCTGTACACATCGACCGGAATGGTGTCATCAAGTACAAAGCCACCCCGGAATGATCGGGATGGCGCCGCTTGGGGACGATCTGCACATGTCGACCGGAACGGTGCCATCGAGTACAGAGCCGCCTTGAAATGATTGGGACGGCACCGCTCAAGGACAATCCATACACGTCAATCGTCATTCGCACATGGAGGCATGGGCCGACCGCTTAAGGGGTCGACAATCATTAATATACGGGGTACGACCGACCCCCGTGTGTATGTATAAAAGCCCACCTCCTAGCCAGCGCCAGAAGGGGATAAAACTCACTCTTATTTCATTCAACGCTAACTTGAACTTCAGAGGGGTCGAGTCGAGAAATCCCCCTCCCAACCTCGACCCATGTGCAAGGGACGATGATGAGGAAGCCCGCAACAGGACTCTTAACTCATGGCTCAACCCGATTGGACATGCAATCCCGTCCCCCGAGTCTCCACGTGGGTGACCTTGTATATTCAGGATCGAACTAAACCGTGCTGACTCCTCGACCATGACGTAAAGGTTCACCAACCACCCTTATTTTATCAAACACATGATTTGATCATATGTTTTTTTAAATGTCAATCATCTTATCTATGGGGCCAAATTATTTTTCTGAATATTTTCTTACAATAATGTCCTTTTAATTTATCACCATTTGAAATTTTTATTTTTTATTTAAACTCCCTCTAAAAGATAATTACTTTGTCAAACACAACCAAACACTTAATTCTTTTTTATTTGGTCAAATGTTTAAACCACTTCAATCATCTTTTCTACGGTGACCAAATTATCTTATTTAAAATGCTATTTCATTAATTATTAGTGACAAATACAAGATACTGTTGTGTAATTTTTTATTAAATTTGAGTGGATGATTGACAAACTGAAAAAGGCGCAAATGAAAGTATTATATGAAAAAAAATTGTATTGAAAAGTAGACTAAACTTAGTATGCTTGTTTTATGATTACAAGAGCTGAAGGATGGAGAGATTTTTTCAGCCACCGCTTAAAAGAATTGAGGATGCAGGTGATATGAACTCCATTGTAACCTCAGCTTATCATGAATCATACACATACTATTTCCTGACATGCTGACTTCTAATGTTCCTTTTTTTTTCTTCTATTAATTATGCGGTAAATGGTGCTATGTATCACAGTAAGCATAGTGATCAAAACACCACGACTCAAAACAAAAACAAAACAGAAAAAAGAAGAAAATTGGCCCTAATGGCCCGAAAATTTTATCACATGATATATTGACAAAACATAATGAAACAATCAGTGATAATTTGCAATCAGACAAGAGATAATACAGTTGAATGTCATTTTCATCATTCTGAGCTTACTGCACATCACACGATAAGATCACAACAGGTAAAACAACACGAGTGCAGAAATCACTCCAAAGAGTGTTCATCACGGCCAAATTTGTTGCAAGAAACTCAGGTTGCCAGAAGATATATATTGTTTTGATCGAAAATTACCTGCATTTACTAGTGCAAGATCCAAATTTGTCCAATAATCATTTCATGTGCATAGTATAGTAGTCAACTTCAAAGCCAGTGCATGATTATAAAATATAGATATGGTCTTAGGGCAACATTATGCGATAAAAAGTTGTTATATGTTCCACAACTAAAAGAACGACTTAATAGTTGCTAATCAAAATTCAACTCTTCTCTGAACTGCTTTCGAGCTCCTTCTTAAGTTGCACAGAGAAGTCATCATTGACATCATCATCATCCCAATCATCCTCCCACTGCTGCACTGTTTCTTTGCCTTCTTCCTTGTCATCCCATTCTGCAATATGAGTAAAACAATGAAGTATTTAATATAGTTCATTTATCTTTGATCAAAGTAAAATAACCAAAGCTAAATCATTATTTTGCTTATTATTCTGAATCAAATTTCAGAAGGACTTTCTAAATTTTTCTATCTTGTCTAGTCTCAAGTCATTGTATTTTAACTATATATGACAAAGATATTATGCCCCAAATTCACAATTCTGAATATAACCAATACAAAACCTACTACAAAGAGTGCAAAGCAATTCAGAGTTTGGCTGTGGTTGACATGAACAGAAAATTGAGGGACAAACTTTACAATCTAAAGGGTATCAAGCAGCAAGAAGCTGATCTAATAGACAAATTTCTGTCTTCTTATTAGACAACTCAAACAGTAGCACAAAAAATTTGTAACTCATCAGACATAGTGCAATTGTCTTGTAGATTACATAGAACAAACTATGTCTAAGTGTCACAAGAACAACAACAACAAGTTGGAATGTAATGTCACAAATATTTGGGGATGTCAAAAGTATCAACAGTCAGATGGCATCTTACATATTTGGTTTAAGTCTGATTTCTAAATAAGAGCTAGTGTTACCAACTTTAGCTGAATCTTGTTGCTGCTAGTCAGATGGTCCCTATTTCACCATGCAATAAGACAATTTAAGTCCCTTCTAATTACCAAAAATATTCTTTCTCTAAAGGGCAACCTGACTGTACCATAACCTCCAATGATGTATCAGAGTTGGCCTAACCATCAGAAAGTTGCTCAAATATTCACATAAAAAAGTTGTGCAAATGCAAACAAAACCAACCATTATAGGATGATCATAGTTTAGACTGTTTCCAAAATAACTTGATAAACCATATGGATAAACAACGAAAGCTGATAAACCAGACAATTAATGTTCTGTAGCTACAATTTAAATGGCTTCTAAGACACTTTTAATCAGCTACACATCCACATCTCATTTCCTGGAGCATTTCACAACTATGGATTTCCTTTCTGAAGTTTAATGCTCATGTATAGAAGTTCATAAAGGTGATTAATCTCCCACTAACTCAAGCAAGAAATTCATTACCTCAAAGGGCTATCCCACAGAAATATTTCAAAATTTGGTATTGCCTTGTAATTTCAGAAAGTCTATGCTAGGAAACAAACTGATTTTAGCAATAAGCAGCAAACAAATGCCAATGCCCAACAAAAAGTTGTAATTAACTCATACTAATATGTTTGCATTTTATTTGGAAAAAATATGAAGTCTCATCTCTAGACCCTATTGTGGTAGGTCCATCATCCATCCTAATTCCAATGCTTGAGACTATTGTGGTTGCAACAAGTGAACTATGGAAGCACGGCAATCGTAAATAATTGTAGAAGAGGTTGCAAACTCGTCAAGCTCTATTTCCTAATTCCAGCATATCATTTGCAAAGAGATCACATCTGTATTCTATCCAAGAGAATATCTAACCAAGCATCAAATTGGTTGACATTTAAATTCTTCCAGAATCAAGGTTTAAAGATTAATGATTCGAATAACAACAGCATGTTTATTTATCGATTGCACCATTATCGACCAACATAAAATTAATTGTTATTTGTACATAAAATGTGCCTGCAATGGTAAGAATCAAGGCAAGCACTCACATCTGGGATAGACCCAATGGCAGGAAGTCATATGTGAACAGTAGCATGCAATGAAGTTAATTTTAAGATTGTGGCAGGGAATTCAACAAGCATGATACAAGTACAAGGAGAGCATACAGTTTTGTTTTGTGAATGTTGGCAAACAGATTATAAAAGGTTTATAGCAATTCCTAGGTATAAACTTTGACCAAGTAATTGAATTTTCCACTCTAGCTCAACATCAAGGATGAATATGAATCATTGCAGAAGCAAGCACAATGAATATAAAAGCCTACATTGTACCACCTACCCTTTACCATTTCACAAAATTGTGTCTAATGATACCTGAATGCATATCTTTCAATGATTCATCAGTAATCCATGCATAATTAATTTCTTTTCTACAAAACCATGCATAAATTTGTGTGATTTTTAAATTACAGCAAATCATGTATATGTAGGCTTTAAAAAAAGAAAAAAATGATGAGACGTGTCTTTTCATCGTTCATTGTTTGCCAAAAACACAAAATGCATTCATGAAGGTAAAATCATAACAGCATCTTTATCTTCTTTTTTTTTCACCCTTCTGTATTCGTACTGTAACAGACTCCTAATTGTCATTCTGTTTCCAAGAAATAACATGATTAATTGATCCTCAAAATATATTTATCCTAAGACGACAGTTCTAAACTCTACTAGAAACACCATGATAAGAACAGTAATCGACCTACTCGCATCTTTGATACAGTGGCAAAGCTCAAGACGAAGCCAATAACCAAAGTGGCCCGACGCTCATAAGAAGAACATTATAGCTTAATGAGATGCGAAAGAAGGGCAAAGAAAATACGATCTCTTCATCAAAATTGCAACGTTTCCATTAATCGGACTGCTTAAAAAGGTAAACGCCCCAAAATCTTACCTTCCCCAAACTCGAACTCTTCGAACTCATCGTCATCCTCGAAGAGGTCGACCTTCGGGTCCTCTGCCGCCACAGGTTTGGTCTCCGTCGCCATTGAGGATGAGAGAAAAGAGGCCTGCGATCAATCCGGGGAGAAATATCCAAAGGAACACGAATCAGTCACACGGAGACCTGATCTCGAGAGGATCAAAAGAGTCTAACCCTAGGTTCGACAACCTCCTCGAAACCCGTCAGATTCGTCGCTATTTGCCCTCTTAACGCACGCAACGAGGGGTAATATAGACGATCAGGATCCGTAGTCCTTAGCCGGACGATGAAATCGCCACGTATGCTTTGAGATTCGTGCGATTTTTGATAGGCTCCTGCCGGATTTCTCGCATGGCACCAATACAATTACAGAGTCACTTTCTCGAAGAAAATGATGCAATAAATGATTTCTTGGGCAATTTTTTTCAAAAAAAATCCTTTTTTTAATAAAATACTCATATTTTGAGTAATTTTTAAATCGATATCCACTTTTGTTTTTATTACAAACAATACCCTAATTTGAAAAAAAATATAGATTCCCCTTAAAATTTTTTGTTATATGTTATAGTGTTTTGGCTATCATAACATAAATATTATAAAACCAGCTGAAAACATTGGAAATAAGATAAATAAAATCAGAACATAGTACAAACCATTTGATATATCATATTACCATTCGAATATATATTCACAATAACTTAGGAATAATATTACCCAAATAAAAATAAAAAATTAACTTGTTATAATGTTTTAGTCACCATAATAAAAACACTATAAAACCTACTCGAAAACACTATAAATGATCATCTGAGTGAACTCGTAACCTCAACTAAACTAATTAGAAGCCATAAAAATATGATATCATAATGTTTTATGAGTAATGATAAAAAAAAAACATAAATATGATATCATTTATAATGTTTTTCAATATAAACACCATTAAGAAACAGTATCGATAAATCAAATAAAAATACTGTAACAGTTTAAAATAAATAAAAAATGGACGAACAAATTTTTGAGAGGTATTTTGAAATTATAGGCACTATTTAAAAAAATAAAAGGAGATAACGATTGACATATACCCAAAAGTGTTTTCTAGAAAAATCATTATTTATTTTTTAAAATACCAATTTATCGTATTGACAAGGCTAAGTTCATGTGGATGAGATAATCCACAGAGGCTTTCGCTCAGAGGATCTACCTTTCGGATAGGGCGTCGCCGCCGTCACACTACCACATTGGCTCTGTTCATGTGGATGAGATAATCCACGGACCCTACGAGTAACATAGATTCAAGTGAGACAGCGGATGCATAAGCCGATCTCTGCAGGCAACCAAACATCTACGGTGAATTACTCTTTGGGAATGTCGATCTTTTTGGGCTAAACGAAGCAGAGATAGATTCAAGAAAGTGGATACTGTAATCTTTTTGGGCTAATCGCTGTAAGAGATTCTATTGTGGTCGGAGTCGTACAAGGTCTCTTCATGGTTGGAGGTGCCGGCGTCTCATTCTTCCCCAGCACAACGACGGCTTCTGGAGGTGCTCCTTGTTATCCGGTCCTGCTCTCCGGGCCTCCACCTCGCTGCTGACATGCTTCAGATTCCTGATGCATAGTCATCCATGAAGCTGCCTCAGATTGCTTAGCTCTCCTATCTGGAACTTCCTCCAACACCTGGAGAGAAGACGGCAAACCGATCCCAGATATGGCGGCGGCCGATTCTAGACTTGTTTTCAGATACCTCATGATATCTTACAAAATGATTGTAGAATGATCATGATGAGTGATCTCGAAGTCACAATAATAAATTGAATTCAAATATAAATCTCAAAGAAACTACCATAACCAAAGTAATTCAGTATCAACAAGAGGAAACGAGCAGAGAGTTGTTTGTCATTCCTTTGGAACAAGAAAACATCTGTTAATAATGATGAGCATATAAACCAACTAAAATGTAATCGATATACCGAATAAACCGAGGAGTGAAGCTAATTAAACAAACTAGCTATATGGTCAATGTAACAGTAAGTTAATTGAGAATGCCAATAAGTTATCGAAAAAGAGTCTTCATCAAACCTCCAAAATATGAGAGTCAGATCAACGAGTAACGAACGAACCTACTTGTAGTCTCACTCGCATGCTTCATATTGAGAATGCCGATAGTTATCGAAAAAGAGTTTTCATCAAACCTGCAATCGGAGTCTCCACGCAACCGATTGATAACATACGAGTGTCTGATCAAAGAGTCACGAACCAAATTGTAGTCTCACTGGCACGCTTCATATTATTTGCATTGCATGGTAAACACAAAACGTCGGTACCAAAATCATGTCTGAAACAGTTAAGAAGACAAAGAGAACTGGTCCCACTCAGACAAGAGACATGCAGTAACTCCAATCACACCATGTCCACTAGCTGACACACACAAGCCATGAGAAGATGAGCAACTTTGGGTGGAGGTACACCTAGAAACCATGGATCTTGATGTGTTCTTTCTTCACAATACCAGCCTGCACCAAAAGAACATAATCCAGTGAGCCTTGGAAATCCATATCCATATCCTAACATCATCTATACCCGATCCATTCAACAGGTGGACATGCTCGTCGTTGCAACTGATGCTCACCGAGCAAGCAGCAAAGGGTTAGTCCACAGTTGCACGCTAATCACGCTTAGAAAGTGAAAAGAAAAAAAACACAACATGAAGGAAAAAGACCTGAAACGATAATATAATAATTGTCGAGAAATAAAGATGTGATATACTGCACCTGAACTAAAAAGGAAGAAACATTCTTCCGCTGATCACCTTGGAGCTGAATCACCTATAAGCAACATAAAATACGATGCATAAGATACTCGACAAACAATTGACAATATTATCACATAAGTGATAAAGTACATATATATACACGAGAAGATTTGCATCAGAAGCAACAACTAACTAGAAGAATACAAGTACCTGGCCTAGCTCTGGGTCCTGGACAACGGTTCCATTACAGCAGAACTCTTTCTTAAGGTCCTTCAGGATCTTGTTGTAGCTGAACTCTTTCTTTAATCCCTGCACAGTGGTTAGACACTTCCTGCCATTCCGCTGCTGTACACGGACGTGCACATACTCCTTTGCACCAACACCTGAATCGTCAGCATTCGCCTCAGCAAAAGGATCTGTATGCAATGGAGGAAAGGTTTTAGCTTGATTTTTATCAATAATCCCCCGATCAGTTTCAAGTATATTTGTCTAGTCAACTCACCAAAAGCAGTAGGGAGCTGCACGTCCAGATCAGACATGAACTCTTAAGAATCGAGGAAATCACACAACAGTAACTTTTGTTTTATAGTCAGAGCTGAAAAAATGTAAATGCCAAACAATGTTAAACTTCCACTTGCAAGAAAAAGATGGTGCAACTCAAGTGAAAGAATCAGAGTATGATGATTCTGTTTCCTTGTCTTTTCAAAGTAAGAAGAATCTTTTATTTGTCTAATTCTGATGTGGTGCAGAAGGAAAAAAGTTCAACAACATAATAGCTACAAGGAATATACCAAATCAATTTTGTGTTCATCAAGATACACAGATTCAAATAAAAAACAGATGATGCTGATATGTCTGTATGTGCCATAAGAACTTGCCACTTTAAAAGGATGGCTTCTGCTAAATATCAAGTAAAAGTCATATTTTTACACCAAAATTAAGTCATCTAATCCATCCAAGTAAAGCCACTTTCATGAAAATCTCCAGAACATCAGGGACAAAAACAATCCTAGCCTCCAAACACTAAATCTAAGCACGAACAAATGGAACAAATAGCAGCACCAGTCCAAGTCTGAACACCATCATCCATTCCAATCAAAGGAAACTCATAGACCGTACCATGACAGTGGATCAAGATATCTCACGTCCCCAAAAACATCAGATCACAACACAACACAAGCCACACCGAATTGACCAAATAAAACACCAAAATTACCAATTAGAAGAAAGAAAAACCCTAAGTTGACACAAGTCCCCAAAGTCAAGAGGGGAATCAAGAAGAACAAGCACAACACCATCATTCCTCCATCAAAACAAACAAAAATATCGAGAAAAGAAGGGAATTCCGGTACCTGACCGCGGAGGAGACCTCAGAACCTGTGAAATCTCCGACCGACGCACGAAGAACTCGGGAGAGGCGAGAACAATCCAGAACCTCCCGCTTCAAGCCGGGAATGCGGTGGCAGAAGAAGCGACGCCTTATCCTTCGCATACAGAGAAGACACGGATTACTCGTGTACAAATCATACGCGGATCGTTTCGCAACCGTTCGATTTCATCAAGATGAAGAACTTCGTAGCTATGAAGGGCGTGGATTCGTTGTGGCGCATAGATTATATTAGGCGGACGCAAGTAGAAGGGTGCAACAGACGTAACTATCAACATGTTGGGGTCGGAACTGACTTCGTCTGGAAAGGTCCGCTTGCTTTAAGAGTAGTGAGCGTCTTGATGAAGAGAAATGATCGTATGGACGGCGTTGATCGTCCTCTTCCAATCAAATTAACTTCAAAAAATAGAAAAAAAATCCTGACAGGAAACCTTTTCCATGAAATTGCTGTATACCAAAAATAAATGTTTAATAGGAAAAATACGAAATAATGTTTTTAGTATCATTTAGAGGTTGTTGGGCCGCCCGACCCAACACAGAGCCGGTCTGAGGCGACCCGGATCACCATATCCCACCATCATCCGTCCGATGGACTTCCACGGCTGAGATCAGTCTTCGTCGAAACCCTAGTTCCTAACACAATCCCCTATAAAAGGCCTCCCAAAACATATTCGACTCCGTCACTGGCTTCGACCTCCTGCTCCTCGGCGCTCAAGATCGTCATCGTCACTGATTAGATGATTGGATTCTCGTACCTCTTCTGTTCTCTCTTGGTTCGGTATTCTCGTACTTTTCCCCTTCGATTCGTTTTCCTCGTCCTTCTTCTCTTCTTTCTTGATTCGGAGATCAGTTTGCAAATTGGTTGGGCTGTGATGATGCTATTTTTGTGGACTAGAGTTTCTGATTCGTGGCCATTCATTTGCGCCAGTATTTGAAGACTAACCCTTGGCTGTCTGAGCTCAACCATTCTCGGACCTCGATCTGAGAATCGACAACAACAACGGAGACCCAAATCAGTCTTTCTTAGATCTCATAGATTTCTATGTTTTTTGTGCTTTTTTTTGTATTTTACGAGAAAAAACAAACATACTTTTGTTTTTGTTTTTGTTGGTTAAACTTGCATCTTAATGTAGTGGAAGTTGAAAGGGATGCGTCCATTACCAATTCCGGGGGATGGTGGTGTTCCTCTCGGTATAATGGCTCGGGCGCTAGAGTTAATGTAAAGTGTGGTCATCCTGATTAGTGGCTTGATTCCGGTGCCATTTTAATCCTGGAAACGCCACGTACACATTCTTTCATATTATTCTTCTTTAAAAACCTTTTATCAGATTATGACTTTGGTCTCCAAACATTAAATAGCAATAAATTGCTTCTGATAAGCAATCTGTTTCTTCGTATAGTGTTTTTAGATCTTGTAAAATTGAATTTAAACCTTTCGAAAATGTGTTTTTTTTAGTTGTCTACTTGTTTTTGAACTTTAGCATCTGATTTAATTTCAATTACTGGCAGACTCCATAGTTTGTTAAAGATCAGATCACAATATGGTTGTTTAACAAAAATTAAATATTACTGCGCATTTAAAAAACATATTGAAGACGATCTAATTTTTGAAGCCAAATGAGATAAATACGTCATCATATAAAACTACTTAAGAAAACAGAACATGAGAAACCAATGTCTAATATGAGATGCAGATTATTGCGGCATCAAATTTCACAGCACCTCATATTATTTTAATTTCCCAGTCTTACCAATTTTAAAGACCACCGGAAGAGGAATCCTCTAACTCATGCATATGGATTCAAGCAAGATGACTGTAGTAATTATATATGGAAGGAGTAGTTTATAGTAGATAAATGCTCCCACCATAAAAAAAGCTGGAAATCCAAGTTGGAAATCAAGTAGAAGATGAATAACGAATGGCTAATGTTTTTTTTTTCTGCACCTTATCAAGCCCACAATCAAATCTATCAGCCTGTATTAAGCTGCTTGACAAGCTAACATCAAATTAAATCATGTAGACAATGAAGGTATTTTAATTTTCTTCCAATTCATCAAAATCTTAAGTTTGTTTTTTTTTTAATTTTTAGGTCATATAAATCAGATAGAAGAAGGTAATCAAAAGCTTTAGGAACTACCTCTTTGCGTATGAGTAAAGGACCACATGCAAAAGATTGAAGCAATATTAACCCTACAAATGATCTTTTTATTTTGAGATGCATGCAAACACTTGTGTGCACACATATATGTATCAACCAGTCATAAAATAATCCTCATAAGCATCATTTACAAGGGCATATGCCAATTTCTCGATCTGTACTCTTAAGAAAAATATAATGATCAACCAGATCAGAAAAATATTAATGTAAAATGCCTAAAAACAGTAGAAAGCCTTCTTGACGATGTACAATAATTTAGCTGGACGCTTATAAACATATGGCGACATTCTTACCATACATCTAAAGCTTCTGACACAGCTTAAGGATCGGCAAGAGACTTCAATTTCACCTTCTAATCTACAATGTAACAAGAGTTCAGAAATTGATACCTACTGCATCTCCAGCTCTATATGGTGTGAGATAGTTAGCGAGAAATATTCAAAGAAGGCTGTCAACCTCTGAAACTAAAGATGTCAAAATATTACTCGATACAAGCAAGTAAAAAACATCAACAGAAGCAAACTTAGCAAGATTTTCATGAATCACTATTGTAAGATACATACCATGTTTAAACAGAGTTCTAACGAAGGTTGCATGAATATCCTCCTCACCTAGTTCCAGCTTTCGCACTCATAGAAGAATGATAGTTGGTGCTTCGCTGCTTTCGATAGGAAGTGTAGACATCATCGTACTGGCTCACCTCATTGGGATTTGCAGTGGCTCCAAGTCCCAATCTCCCTGAACTACTTCGGTCTACACTCCCATCGGCATATGCTCCAGTTTCAGGGTCCAGTTGCAGGTTAGTAGGTGGAGGAATGCATGCCCCTCCCTTTCGAACAGGAGATTCCCTCTCATACTCTTGGTATTCATCTTTTGATTCAGACTGTCTCATTGGTCCTTCTGATGGGTTGACCTCCCCGATCTCCTTAAAGAACTTGGAGACACGATCAAGAGTCTCTGAAGGAGGCACAGTGGACGGGGGAATCACCGTTGGAATATCAAGAGGGCTCAAAGGAGAGTAGGGTACACCACTACCAATCTGCATCTTCCGCACCATGCCAGGGATAAGGCCAGGTGGAAATAGTGGATAAGGTGGAGGAGCTTGATCGGTTGTGCTAGGTGCAGCGTTGGGTTGCAGTTGAGCTATGGGTGTCTGAATTAGTAGTGTTCCTGAAAGAGAAGTCTGAGCAGCAGGTGGATAAACACCACTGGGTAGTTGGTTCATTGCAAGTTGCTGACTCACAGCGGGTGCAAATGGCAAAGCTGAAGTTGGAGGAAAATGTTTATTGGTATCTTGTTGACCAAGGGAACCCAAATCAGAGCTTTGCTTATCCGGCCATTGATGAGCAGTTACACCTGCAGAACATAACAAACAAAAGAGGTGAATTTCTCGGTGTCAATTTAATAGCCAAAAAATATTTGATGCTTAACTGAACAATTGTGTTAACTGTTAAACCTGAAGATGAAGAGGACAAAAAACGCATGCAATTCCCACTTTAATAAAAAAAGCTATAGCCATGAAATAGTTAATGCTTAAGTGAATCAATGAAAACATCATTAAATGTAATTTTTATAAATTATAACACAAACAACAGACCAACAATAACAACAACAACAAAACCGTAAGCCTCAACTATTTGGGATCGACTACATGGATCTTTGGACGCCATTAAGATCTATAAAAGGTTATTTGCTTAGTTAAGTTTAGAGTATTTGAATATTTATTTATAGTTTCCACTAAAGTTTTTTTAGGTCTTTCTCTGTCTCTCCTCTTACCACTAACAATAATCATTTCGTTTTTAACTACCACATTCATAGGTCTCCTAAGCATATGCTCATATCATTTTAAATAATTCTCTCTCATCTTGTCCTTTATCGAAGTGTACCTAATTGTTCATGAATAAACATATTTTTCTCTATCTTTCCTAGTAACTCCATATATCCTTCTCAACAATACACATTTTGTAAATGTTACTTTTTAACTGCCCAACACTCAAAACTATAAAGCATTACTGATCTCACAATTATCTTATAAAATTTTTCTTTTAATCTTAAAGATATACTCTCTATGGTTCTAACACTAGTAGCTACATTATTATACATACCCTTAATAACATCACTATAATTAGTGGATCAATCTTTCTTTTTAAAAACCCACCATAATAATTCTCAAGGAACTCTATCGTATCCCTAAGTAAATAAAAACAATATGCAAATATTTCTTTTTCTCTCTATGCTTTTTCATTAGTTGTTTTAATCATGGTATGCAGTACCGAATGGTACCACCCGATATGGGCGGTACGTACTGGTCCGACGGCATACCGATACACGAACCGCCCGGCACCGGACGAAGCATGCTACAGTGCTACAGTAGTACATTGTAGTAGTGCTACAGTAAAGAAGAAAATATATAAAAATATTCGATACACCCTGGTGTACCGCTCGGTACACCGGTACCGTATTGTACCGAGCCAACCTCGAAATATCGGTACGATACGGTATTGCATACCTTGGTTTTAATAAATAAATAATTTCAATTATTTATCTTTCAAGCATAAAATCAAATTAAATTTCAAAAATACTTGTTTCAAATTTTATGCTACTTTCGATAACTTTTTTTCAAAGTTTCATTGTATGACTCACGATTTTAAATCCCCTATAATTAGAATAGTTTTGAATGTCACCCTTATTCTTGTAAATTGACATTAAAAAATTCTTTTTCCATTCACAAGACATCTTTTTTAATCTCATAATTTTGTTAAATAAGTTAGTTAACCAAGTTATTCCCTTGTCCCCTAAACTTTTTCAGGCCTCAATAAGGATATCATCAAGTTTCACACTCTTAGCTACTGTTATCTTTTTATTTTTAGACATCTTTTACTTCACTAGCTCTAATTTTACAAACAAGTCTATGATTAT